CGTTGTGTTTTTCTCACATGCTGGAAAAGTCAGCCCTGCCACTGGCAGGAGGCCTCACTTCTCGTTACTAGACCAAAGGGAATGATCCCAGAGTGAGCAAAGCAAAAGTCGTGTTGTCGTTTATGGGACAGCCTCCAAAGTCACGAACCATCACTTCTGAATGTCCTATCAGACACACAGGCGAGAGCTGTTCAGCACGGGAAGCAACAATACCATGCGGTGAATACCAGAGGCAGGGCACACTGGAAGCCTTCTCGGAGGGTGGCCACCTCTTCCTTTAAACATGATATTGTGAACACCTTTTCATGCCAGTAGTGGCAGATCAGTCTTGCCCTCTTTAATGACTACATGTAAGTGCAGCATAACTTAGTTGACCAATCCCCTGCTGTTGAATATGTGGATTGTGTCCATCGTAGATATAATTAGTTATCTTGAATATCCATCACTAACCTTGTACTATTATTTCCTTGAGATAATGAAACACCTATCAGTCACCCCTTGAGCAATGGGTGGGTGAGGATGTGAACTGGGACTGGAGCAAGGCCCCTTCTGACCAGCCTTTCTCTTCCCATTAAATGGTAAACTCAGTAGATGCTGCAACATCCCAGCTGATCTCTGCGCAGCTGTTTCTTAGAAAATTCTAAGCAGAAATCGTGTTCATCCACATCATCCAGACAGCCCTTGATATACTGAAGGCTCTGAGTATGTCCAGGAACTGTCTCTGAGGCCCTCTCCTTCCTGGCCCCTCTTCTTTGAACCAGGTCTGGACAGGTGGCACTTGATCCACCCCATCAAGTGCCTTCAGAGTGGGGACTGTCCCCTGTATACTGACCCACTGCTGATGCTCAGTCACCTAAAGAAGAAGCCATGAGAGGACAGGGTAGTGCATAGGAGGGCCCCACTAGGGGAGAATGTGGTTTTGGAGGATTAACCTGTAAGGGGAACTGGAGTGTCAGACCCCTTTCTGCCCTTGCAGGTGACAGTGAACCAAGGAGTGGCTCCCAGGAAAGGGCTCTGGGAAGGGTCTTCAGTGCTCAGAGTGCAAACTTGGGGAAGCGGGTGCCTGGAGGCCTACCAGGCTGAAAAGGGCCACCTGACCCTCTGCCCAGCCTTGCCAAGCCTTCCCCACCTCCCTGGAGCAGAACTGAGGATTACTAGTGCTGAGGGCTGGTCCCAGAAGCCAGCCCTTGGGCATCCACTTAGCGGTTGATCCAGAAGACCTGCCTCACGGAACCGGGTCTGAGCCCTGCCCCCAGCGAACAGTGGCCGAGAGCCAGGACTGGTCAGGTCTGTGACCTGCCACATGAGCCCTCGAGGCCATCTCACTCTATTTTGGGAAGGGGATCGATCGTGTCAAGGGCTTTCTCAGGGATAACCTGAGGAAGAGCCATTGGCTGGAGAGCCTGGCATTCTAACAGGGCACCCTCCGGGCATACCTTGACCCATGTGTGAGCTCCAGCTAATTTTAGAAGGTCTGAGTAACTTGGGGTCACTCGTGGGCGAGCCTAAGGAGGGCCAGGGAGATGCGCCCAAAACGAGCCCAAGGCCTGGACTCAGCAGCCCCCAAGCCTAAGAACGGCCTCCCACATACACACTTTTCTGTTTTCTGGTTCAAGGCATTCTGAGGCTGGCCTGCCTTGAAATAGAAGAGTCCTAAGTAAAACGTGTATTTTTGCCCAGCCTGGATGGAGTGGAGGGGTGCTCAGGGGCAGCCCCAGGGCCCTGCACCTGCCCGCGGTGTTCCCGCAGCCTCTGGTTTTCATTGGCTTAAACGGGATCGTGTGCGTGCCGCTGACCAATCGCGCGGCTGGGGCGGCTCCACGCCCACGGCAGGAGGGATTTGCCCAACCCCAGTGGGGCCCTGAGAGGAGCCTGCTATACTAACCCCCCCTCCCCCAGTGCCCTTACAGCAACTCCTCCTGATTTCCTCGGTTCTCTCACCTGCAAGAGCAAGCCCAGCTCTCGCTGGCACAGGCCACGCCCCTCCCTATACACCCCCTTTCCTACCTGTCTGTGGGCCTCCTGCTCCTCGGGCTGGCCTGGGGATCTCTGCCCGCAGTAGACCAGGGAGGGGAGGGCAGAGTGGATAGGCCAGCTGGGCGCCCCTCCCCACCTGCTAGGCAGCAGTCCCCACGTGGTGTCCAGAGGGTATGGCAACATGCCCCACGGTGCTGTCCCCTTGCTTTTATCAACCCTGACCCCTGCAAGCCTCTTCTGCCCTTCCGGCCTGCCCCTGACGTGTGGTGGCTGGCTGAGTATTTCAGCAGTGGCAACTGGGCCTGATCAGTGCAGAAGTCCTGGGCTGCCTGCCCCTGGGACTCTCCTCTAGCCAGGCAGCCCTCACCTGCCACACGTGGGTCTCAGCCGGCAGGAGCATCCCCACATCCTGATGGCGTCAGATCACACAGCAAAGAACCAGCCCCAGACAGCCTTGACTCTGGTAAGGCTCACTTCAAAGCCAGGGGATATGGGTTGGAGAGCAGCCCCAGAGCACTGCACTCAGCTCTGCAGGTCACAGGTTAGGGCCAGGGTAGTGAGGTAGTGAGCAGGCGCTGGGCCCCTGGGGAGGAGGCACCCAGGCCTGGAGGGGTTGCGGTGCCCTGACAGGCAGCTGCACCTACTCCTGGCTCCTTTCCCCAACACCCCATCCTCACTAGGGACACCCACTGCCAGCTTGTCTGAGTTCTGGGAGCTTGCCCTTGGGGCTAACCAATGGTGACCTAGGATGAGTGTGTCTGGTGCCTGGATGGGGGCCTTGCAGGGGGAGAATTGGGTCCCCTGTGCCCTCTAGCTCTCAGGGTTCCTTGTATAGTCCTGGAGGTTGGATCAGGATTCTCTTCCTTGGGTCATGTGGGCTACTGGCCTGGATACTTGCTGCTGTGTACACAGCCACCCTCGGGTCAGCAGGCTAGGCTGCCCTGGACAGGTGGCACCATCTGGCCCTGGAGCCCACAGGGTCCACTGGGGCTGCACTGGCCTGGGCCATACCCTCTGGGTCCTTTGGCTGAGATGGGAGATCCATTTAGGCTGTCCTCAGCCTTGGTCCACCAAATACAGAACTAGGAGGTGTCCTGTCTTTTTGTGGTTTGCGGATAGGGTCCCAAGGTACTGCTTGCTGCATCCTCCTGGCTTCCCTTCACCTTTTGCCCTTTGCTGACCTTCGTCCACCCAGTGACTTTATCCTGGTCTGCAGCATTGAGAATGGTCTCCATTGCAACGGCTTTTAAATTTATAGTCTGGCCACTTCCCCCAAACTTTGACCTCAAACAGCCAACTGCTACCTGGGACCAACCTCTCTCTGGTAGACACATTCACAGGCCTAGATCTCAAGTTCCTGACCACTCCCCCCACCAAGCCATCCTCCTGGAGTGTGGAACTTCACCTTCCCAGACTCCTCTCTTCCTTCCTGCATCCTGTCTGTAGCTCTGCCTTCAGACTGACTCCAGACTTTTGCTGCCTCTTTCTGCCCAGCACCCTCTATCCTCACCTGGGTTATGGGGACAGCCCACTGGCCCCTACCTCTCCACCCTCTCTCCCTCCTCAAACGTACATCATGCACTGGGGCACTGGCAACCAACCTGGCCTCACTCCCTTCTTCCTTCTGCCCACTGCCCTCACCCCTGGTCCCTGTTTCCTGTCCACCCAGCCAACACCAGTGGGTTGTGTGCCCTTCCTGTTGCACTCTGAAAGGGACCCATCCTGCTCCTAGCTCCTCTCCTATGCCCCCTCAGCACCTGGCCCACAACAGGCACCTGCTGACCAGCCAGGTCAGCAGCCCAGCAGGGAGTATGGGGGTTCTGGGCAGGGAGAGCCCTGTGGCTGTCCCATGGCCTCTCAGGCAAGGTCACAAGAGAAACCTCTGTAGCTGGAGCTGCTTCTGTGGGCCTGCAGAGCAGGGCTCTGCGCTAATTTCTCTGAGGCTTTGCCTGGAGGCCACATGGCTTTTCAGGGTTCCCAGGCTGTACCCCAGGCCCTCAGCTGCTCAGGAGAGTTCTGTAAGTTTACCGAGACCCATCAGAAGGACGCCTATGGCTGGGGTCTGGCTGCGGGAAGGGATGGCTGGGCTTTGTAGTCCAGCAGGAGGCAGCCTGGTGGGCAGGCTTAAAGCAGGCTCCTGGGCCCTATGGGCTTGGGAAAAGGGCTTTACTCTGTGTCCAGTTTCCTCACTTGTGAGAGATGGAGCTGATCAAAGTGCCCAAGTCCTGGGGTGATTGTAGGAGTGGTGGGGAGATGGAGAGAGGACAGCAGTGTGTCCTCAGTCCCTGCTCCTGGGAATATCTCAGCATGGGAGTCAGTGGGGTGGTCTCTCTCCCCTGGGTCACACCCTGACCAGGTGCCAGGAATATGGGCATCCGCAGGCCTCTAGGTACCCAAGGAGGGTACTGCCAAGAATATGGCTCACCTTTGGAGGTTGCTTCTATGGCGAGAGGTGATCCCCAGGTCAGCCCCAGGCTGCAAGTCAGAACTTCCCAGTACCTGTTCCAACCTGTACCTGTTCATGGGGGCCAGTTCATCAGGGTCTCCAAAGCCTTGTGGTTTCCACAGCACCTGGCTTGCTGGAGCCTGGCTCCCCTACACCCTGCCTCCCTCCAGCCCGAGTCCGGTATGTGATTCTGAGTGTGCTATCATAGATTTTGTTAGCCTCATGTCTTTCTGATTTCACTGGGTTTAAATTTTAAGTGTGTGGCCTTATTAAGAGAAGTCGTTCCTAACTAAGGATCTGTAGCTGCTAGGAATTCTTGGGACTACAGAAATCGAACACCTGACTCTGTGTAGCTTAAGTAGTTAGTATTTGCTTCCATAGCTAGCACATGGAGGTGGTGGGTCCGCCACAAGCCTCCCTTCTCTGCCATCAGGAGTGTGCTAATAGCTGTTCTCACCAGCCTTCTCTTATGTTTGCAAGATGGCTATCACAGCACTGGCCACCACATCTGGGTACAGCTATGTTTCCCCTTCTGCTAAAATCAGGCTTCCTGGGGCCAGTGGGTGGCATAGTGGTTAAGGCGCTGGACTCCCACATGGCTGACTGCAGTTTAAGGCCCGGACCTGGCTGCTTGAAAATTACATCAGGCACATGTGCATATGTGCCCAAAATCCCAAGAAGAGAATAGAGGAGAAGGGATTGTAGTGTGTTCATCGCCTTTGGGGGGTTGATTTCTCACTTTCCTTCTCATTGTCTCTTTCTGGGAAGTGCATACGTCCTGGGGTGGGGGCGACTCTTAAAAATATATGTATGGGGATCAGCAGTTAGCGTAATGGCTATGTCACTGGACTCCTGTGTAGTCGACCATGGTTCGAGTCCCAAACCCAGTGGCTTAAACAGATGCTGGGTGCGTGTGCATGTATGCCCAATATCCAGAGAGGAGGATGGAGGAGAAGGGATTGTGGCATGGCCATCCCCCCTGGGGGATGATTTCTCGCTTTCTGTCTCTCTATCTCTCTCTGTCTGTCTGGCAAGCGTTTGCACCCTATAGCAAAAAACTCTCCCAAAAAATGTGTGTGTATGTGTGTGCATATATATATAAAAAAATAAATATTAAAAATCAGGCTTATGCCCAAACTAAGCCAATCACTGACACAAGGGGAGAGGCTCGCTGTGCTTGACTTAACCTAAACATGGCTTACCGTGTTACTGCTCACCCACCCTTATTCTGCCCCAGGGAAATAAAACCTGGACTCCAAGGCTCTAAAAACTGAGGAAGAAGGGGCAAATGGCTGCATAGCCTCCTGGCTGGAATTCGAACATTCTCCCCCCGAGTTTATGTATAAGACTGTGTGCAAATGAATGTGTTTTCATGAAGGGTAGGTCCATGGCTTTTATCAGAGCATCTTTTGATTTCCTTTTTGGTTCAAAATGAAAACATATTCATGATTCTTTTACCGCTGCCCAGAGATAGCCATGAGTATGCGCTACTACGCAAAAGGGACAGACACATGCTGTCCACCTGCTGGGCAGAGCCTGGCTGCTCGCACAGGCTGTCCTCACAGCACCACGTGGGAGCCAGGGCCATCCATAGGCCATCCACATTCAAAGGACTGGTGCTATGGAGCCAGCTTCATATGTATGGCCCCTCTCACATTGACACAAACAGCCCTCCTCCTTCTGCCACCTCCCGGCCACTCCTCTGTGGGAGCCTCCCGTCAAGCAGGCACCTCCTGACTAACTAGCAGTGCCTGGGCCCCCTCATGCACAGCTTTGCTGTGCAGATGGCCCCTTCTCCCCTTGCACAGAACCCAAGAGGTAGATGACAGTATCTCCCCTGACCTGCCTGCCGGAGCTTCCTCCTTGACAAGTCCAGACCTGTGGGACCTCAGGAGGTGCTACAAGACACCTTGGCACCAGATATGTTAGGAACAAGAGCCTCCCCGTCCTGTGTTGCTCACACATCCAACATACCCGACTGATGTGTGAGCTGGTCTCGAGGCTTGGCTCTTCTCATTTTGAACTATGGTGGATGGTTTGAAATGTGAAGGCAAAGAACAGAGAGGTCACTCTGAGTGGGGCCTGGGGCAGCCTGACCAGCACAATGGTCCACCCGCTTCCCTGTGCAGGTGGAGCAGATCCTGGCGGAGTTCCAGCTACAAGAGGAGGACCTGAAGAAGGTGATGAGGCGGATGCAGAAGGAGATGGCCCGTGGCCTGAGGCTAGAGACCCACGAGGAGGCCAGTGTGAAGATGCTACCCACCTACGTGCGTTCCACCCCGGAAGGCTCAGGTATGGCACCTGACCAGCTGGAAGCATCCGGCTCGACTGCAGGGCAGTGCCCTGAGTCTGGACTCCAGTCTGCTGGGCTGTTGTGCCCTGGGGCCCCATGGGGAGCCATCATGCCTCAAGACAACTGGCTTTTTGCATCTCACAATGAGGGGATACTCCCACAGTCAGTCTGGAGTTAGGTCCAGTGGTCCCTGGGCGCCACTGGCCAGTCAAGGGCAGGGGCTTCCTGAGACTCCCCAGCTCACCTTGACCTGTCTGCAGCTGGGAAGGCCTCAGCAGCTTCATGTCCAGCCCCACGATGCCCCATGCCATCCCCTCCTCCTCTCTGTCATGGATCCCAGGCTGATAGGCTCCCCCTTGTGCCTGCAGAAGTCGGCGACTTTCTCTCCCTGGACCTGGGCGGCACCAACTTCAGGGTGATGCTGGTGAAGGTGGGGGAGGGCGAGGCAGGCCAGTGGAGCGTGAAGACCACGCACCAGATGTACTCCATCCCCGAGGACGCCATGACGGGCACCGCTGAGATGGTTAGTGGCCTCTTGGGAGGCAGGGAGCCAGGCAGGGGACCAATGCCTCAGAGGGTGGCCAGGCAGCACAAAGGCCAAGGTGGACAGCAGCTGGCACTGCCTATATGACCAAACACTATCTGTCCAAGGTCAGGGATTGGTTCAGGACAAATTGGTGACAGGAGCTCCCACCAGTCACATGCCATCCAGGTTCTCAGATGCAGAGCCACTGTGTGAGCACAGAGAGGTGCCCTGGCATCCAGGAGGACGGCCCTCCCCTGCAGGCATGGTTCTGAGTGCAGACTGGGCAAGAGCAAAGGCAGCAGGTCAGGGGGGCACCTTCTTAGCCCAGCACACAGCAGGCAGCATGGTCAGTTCCATGCCAGAGATAGGCAGACAGGGCACCTGGAAGTGGCAGATAAGACTCTGAATCCTAGAGCTGAAAAGCCTGGCTGTGGCCAGAGATGAGCCTCTGTTTAGCCCTCTCTGGTCCAGCAGGTGGGGCCCAGCTCCCCCTGGGTCACATCATCCCAGGGCTGCCATCAGCAGGCTCTGACACTGGGGAAGGTTCATGACCTGGGTCATGGAGGGGAGGGAACGGCAGCAGGCTTGGCATCAGCGGCACACACCCCTGGCAACACCTAGCCCACAGCCCGGGAGGTGCCGGCCGGCCTCCTTCAGCAGCCACTGCCCTGGGTGCATCCTCCAGCTCTTCGACTACATCTCTGAGTGCATCTCTGACTTCTTGGACAAGCATCAGATGAAGCACAAGAAACTGCCCCTGGGCTTTACCTTTTCCTTCCCCGTGAGGCATGAGGACATCGACAAGGTGGGCAAGGGGGTTGTGGAGGGGTGGAGGGTGGCTGAAGGATGCGTGTGCCCCAGAGGGACCCTGCAGCCCCGCCACCAGGTGGGAAGGAGCTGCATTCAAGCTGCGCCCTGCCACTTACTATACATGAGGCTTGGGAAACAGCCAATTCCCACTACATGCCCCCAAGTCTCCCTATGACCCTGAGGCACACACCACAGTCACTGTAGAGGGAAGTAGCAGCTCTCCCTTAGACCATCACATCCATCTCCTCTTGGTCAGCTGTGAGGGTACTGAGATACTATCCCCACCAGCAAGCTAGCAAGTTAGCCTGCCAGCCATGTCTGCATGCATGCATGTGCTCACACATACATGCACGTGAATCAGTCACAAAACATGAACTTGCTCTGGAGCAACATTCCAAGTCCCAGACTGCACAGATGCAGCGAGGGCTAGGGGAGCTCCGTATGTAGCAGGGTGTACAACATGACAGCAACCCCCCCGCCCTACCCCTCCTCGAATGCCGCTCCCCTCTGAACCAAGACTTACTCTGGGATGACGTTGCAAAGCTTCACTGTACAGGCATCTTTAAGGTGGTCAAGACCTACAGATTAGATGTCCTAGAGGGTCGTCCCAGCACCAATCACCATTGCACAGCTACTTCAAGCCTGTCTGCCCCACTGTAGAGCGGGGCACGTGTCCTTGTGGACCTTGTGGGAACAATGCAGCCATAGGCCTGTCCCTGGTGTGCAGAGTAACCACAAGGCCCTCTCTCCCCACAGGGCATCCTTCTCAACTGGACCAAGGGCTTCAAGGCCTCAGGAGCTGAAGGGAACAACATTGTGGGGCTTCTACGAGATGCCATTAAAAGGAGAGGGGTGAGGGGCACTGTGCCTGCCCGGGGACCCCGGCCCAGTGCTACCAGCTCCTTTCTTGGGCCTGGTTACCATTGGCCTCTGTTCTTCTCGGCAGGACTTTGAGATGGACGTGGTGGCAATGGTGAACGACACAGTAGCCACGATGATCTCCTGCTACTACGAAGACCACAAGTGTGAGGTCGGCATGATTGTGGGTAAGGGTGCCACCCTAGCCCACTGTCGTGTCACTAACAGGATACCTGAAACTGGGTGCTTTCTAAAGAAAAGAGGAGTTTATGTGCAAAATCCACATTCTGGTGGCTGGGAAGTCCAAGGGATTGCAAAATGGCAGAACTTTGAGTAGAAGTGTAGCCATATTCATGTACCTCTTGCCTGCCTCACTTCCTCTTCTTGGAGACTCCACCAGATCTGAATCCTAAGAGCCCCACTCCAGTGATATTATCGCCCCTAAAAGTCCCACCCTGGGACAACACAAAGGGGTGAAGTTTTTACATAAAGCCTTTACAACACAACCAAGCCCCAACACATGAACCCTTTGGGGGTTCATCACACACCAAGACCAAACTGAAAACATAATCTTTGGGGGACAAAGAATGATCCAAACCATCACAGGCTCCTTGCCCTCTGCCCCTTCTGGGTGGCTGTGTAGGGCCCCTCAGGAAGCCCAGTGGCCTTGATGTAGCATAGGCGCTGTGTGCCTACCTCCCCACTAGACAGTAGGCCAGTGGCACATACAGCACCCACTAGGATCTCAGTAAGACACCTTACCCAGTGAATTGGCCAGACTGGGCAGATGTGTCCACATGCAAGAGGCATCACCTCTTTCTGGATGTCTTACTGGGGACCCGCCTAAAGAGAAGGCAGGTGTCAGGACAGGAGCAGCATCACAGAAGGGTTTCCACTCAAGCCATGGGCCCTCTCAGAGATCATGAGGTGATTATCATGAGCATGTATTGGGGAACAATCCAACCAAATAGGTCACCTCCTGTGCACGTTGGTGGGTGAGGGGAATTTATGGGTTCCTCAAGCCTGGTTTCCAGAAACCAGTGCTGTGATCTCATGGACTTCAGGGCCAGCCCTGGAAGGTTATGCTTTTGTGTGGTTAGGTACTTATCTACAGTTAAACCCCCCAGTAATCAACAAGTGCTTCTTACATATTAGACACATGCACACATATGCACACAAACATTGTACATATACACACAGTCATGTGTTACTTAACAATGACTGTGTTCTGAGAAAGGACGTTAGTCACAGGGTGTAGTCACCCAAACCTAGAAGGCACAGCTAGTGCACACCCAGGCCAGGTAGTGATCTCGTACACGCAGCCCGAGCTGAATGCCGGTGCCATGCAGGACTATGCATGCACAGGTCTGGCTGAAGCTTCAACCTAACTCTACTAGTATGCTGTTCTTTCCGCTTTCATGCTCATTCTCAGCTTTTAGAGGTCTTTACACTTGTCTTTAAGTCCTACATCTAACCCTGAGTGTTCCCCACCCTCTCCTGCAGAGCCACTCGGGACTCCCCAAGACACTTCCATGTGACTTCTCACCAGGCTGAGCTACTGCTACCTGGTGGTACCCCATCCTGGAGCAGAGGCAGCAGAGGAGCCCCTGGCAAAGAGCCTGCCTGCACACATGTTTGGTAGCTGTGCTCAGTGCTTGAAACATGCCCATAATAACTTCCGGGGTCTAACATTTGAGAGAGTTCACACAAAAATCTCAATTTGTTTTCCACAAATACAAAATAGGAAGGCCAAGCATCACTCGTACCTGATCCCTACACAAAAGGCCCATTGCCCAGCAACCCTGCCTCAGGCTCCTAATGCATGCTAGCACCACTTTTCGTTTAATGACTCCAGAAGGAAGGTCTCCACTCCTCACCTTGAAGTCCTGCCTGCAGTATCTCTGACTGCTCCCAGGGCTACACTGCCATCCTCGTTTTCCGGGTGCCCCCCAAAATATGGCTCAGGGCATGTGCAGACAGTGCAAGAAAACCAAGGTGGTATACAGGCAGGATACAACTGTACCTGCTACACCCATCTCTGATTGGCAGGCACTTTGACGCATGCTGCTTCCCTCCCAGCAACCCAGATAATGTCACCTTAGGGAATAGGACAGCCCAGAGAGCTAGTCCACCTACCCCATCCAGGTCACACACTCCTGGCAGAGCATCTGCCATTGCCCCAGGGCTCCAGGACAGAGAGACCTCATAAGCATGGGAGCAGGAGATGGAGTGCAGGTTAAGGAAGCTGAGGACACAGGGCCAAGGGGGCATCCTGGGGTTCCGTGTGAAGTGCAGCTGCCCCAGGCGGGGCCTGACATCACCCACAGGCACTGGCTGCAACGCCTGCTACATGGAGGAGATGCAGAACGTGGAGCTGGTGGAGGGCGACGAGGGCCGCATGTGTGTCAATACGGAGTGGGGCGCCTTTGGGGACTCGGGCGAGCTGGACGAGTTCCTGCTGGAGTACGACCGCGTGGTGGATGAGAACTCCGCGAACCCCGGTCAGCAGCTGTAAGGACGCACCCTGGGCTGCTCTCGCTGCTGCAGCAGATGGGAGCCCAGCCACGCAGATAATGGGCTTGTTTTTAAACCGTTCTGGGCAAAAGCAAACTTTCGGTGCCATGTACACTGGCTCCTCTGCCCCTCGGCTCAGTCATGACCCGCCCCCTCCCGTAAACCGGCAGGAAAGGAGCGAGATTGTGGTTAGATCACCTTCTGGCATAGTGACGGCTCCCAGTCGCCCCTGGCAAGGTGTGCTGGGCTTAAGCAGAGTTCCTCAAAGCACACATTTGTCTGCGTTTACAGAACGAGTGTTAGTGTCGCATACCATGCTGTGGGTTGCCAGAACACCACTTGGGAACCAACCATCTGTGCTGGTTGTTAATCACTGCTGCCACTTGTTAACCACCTACTATATGCCCGGCCTGCTAGCTGTTTGATCAGCCTCATCCCAGACCCTCAGGCCTCCACTAGGTCAGTAGTGGTACATAAGCTGTGACGCACAGGGCAGGCTGGTGCCAACCGCAGCACTGGCCAGTGACACCTGCACCTCTTCACCAGGGTGTGGGAGAGCTGGGGTTAAAGGCCGCGTGCTCAGTTCAGGGTGCACCTTCCCAATCCCCAGTTTAGCAATGAGAGAAGAAGCAGGAAGCCAGGTCTTTGGGCAGCCAGGGTGAGAGAAGGGTGTGCGCGCCTCACGTGACCCTGCAACCGAGAGAGGGGCGGGGCCGGTTTCTGCGGCCAACAGGGATAATCAGAGCTTTGTGTGCAGGTACGAGAAGCTCATCGGCGGCAAATACATGGGCGAGCTGGTACGGCTGGTGCTGCTCAAGCTTGTGGACGAGAACCTGCTCTTCCATGGGGAGGCCTCGGACCAGCTGCGCACACGCGGCGCATTCGAGACACGCTTCGTGTCGCAGGTGGAGAGGTGCGCGGAGGGGAGGGCCAAAGGGCACGCTAGGAGCAGGGGTGGGCGGAGGTCCCAGGTTACGAGTGTAGGGTGGGGGACGTGGTTGGGAGCTGCAGGAGCAGAAAATGAAGGTCTGGGGCGGGGTTGCGGGTGTGGGAGGGTCACGAGTCGGGGTCGAGTGTGTAGGCTGTGGTGCAGGGGG